AAATAGTTTGATTCTACATATTCATTTATTAATTCAAGAAGTCAAAGAATAAAGACAATATTTGGGAATTTATTGACGCCGGGGAAAAGCAGAAGTAAGAAAGGAATAAAACACCTACTTCCTATAACTATAATGTAAGTTGCACCTGCAAATATATAACTTAGGAGAATTAAATTCCAGATTAGGAAGAATACTTAAAAGACCTAACTTCTGTAATTTGGAATCCTCAGTATTGGTCAGTCGATAGCTATATATTGAAGCCTATGAGAAAAGTTTGACCAGCTTGCTTGCATAAATCGAAACACCATTTTTTTTCCAACGGGCCTACACGTTGGATAGGGAAATGTAGTTATCGAAATTCGGTATTCATAATTTTTCGTATCTATTCTTAAATAAATTTGTATTATGTATTTGATAAACGGTTGTTTCTGCATAAAAATGAACACAGTAAGCTGCTCATAAAAGGAAGCAATTTATTTATTTTTTCAATATTTTTCCTTTACATTTTTGAGTGAACTTATATTTATGCAAATACATATTCACTCCAGATCGCAAATGTAAAGAGTGAAAATCAATTGTCAAATTTTTATTTAGTCATAAACACGTGTTTTTTTTTCCATATATATTGAGTAAATGATATTCGAAACATCAATATCATTCTAAAACTAATGCACAATATAGACAATACACACCTAACCCAAACTACAGAGAAGTAGAAAATAACATTAAACTAATATGGTAAAGTTTTGACAAGTAATGGCATCTATCGAAAGTGTAAAAAGTGTAACTATATTTTGCAAAGTATAAAATATCTAAAATAGACAAAATCTGAATTATTAAGACATGCTTAACTATTTACGTTAGTGTTTTGAAGCGTGTTCTTGTATGAAACTTATGTAAACAGATATAAAGTGGTTTTATACACACACACACATAAATACCAAACTATAGTTCGGCATTATCTCGTCAAACTCATCCCCCGGTGGGACAGCGGTAAGTCTATGGACTTAAACGCTAAAATCCAGGATTTAATTCCTCCCGGTGGACATAGTAGATAGCCCAATGTGGCTTTGCTCTAAAATAAACAAATAAAAAAATTCGTCAAACTAATAGAAACGACGTGAACAAATACCAACTTAAGTATAATGTCAATCTGAAATTATTGAATGTTGTGAGAGATTTTGTATGACCACTAATGATGAGTTGGATCGTGAAGACCATAGAAACCAAACTGAATGTTTCGGATAATCAGATTTAGTATCCCGTTACGACGGAGTTATTTTAAAATGTTTGTTAAATATATGACATAGATTAAAATCCGATTACAATAACGCCTTTAGTTTTTCTTTCGTGTGATTTAATAATGCAGTAATAATTTTCATTAAATGAAATTGCGCGGAGGAACAGGTGGGTTATTAAGCACATTTTACACGATAAATACCAATACAAATGTTTATACGCGATATGAAAATTTCATGTAATTTCCTTATTATTTCTATGCAAAGCAGGCGACATTCAATTGTATATATCGTTACTCGTTTAGAACATACATATTTGTATTACTTTATGTAATGACTATTAAACTGAATAAACAGATTCTTTACTTAAAGTTTTCGATTTTGTTTGTTTTAAGTTATGCACAAAACTACACAATCGGCTATCTGTGCTCTGCCCACCACGGGTATCGAAAACCGCTTTCTAGCGTTGTAAGTCCGCGGACATACCGCTGTGCCACTGGGTGGCGAAGCTTTACAGCATCAAGTAAGTTTTTCTGTAATGCAACACATTTATGAAATATGTGAAGTATTCTGCTTTTGAAACCAGAGAACTAAAACTCCAGTGATTAAAAAATAATGTTTGCATTTTTTTTATAAACACGATACGACACAATTTAATATTATATAACTGTTACAAAAAGCACTGTCATTTTATATACAATAAAAGCAAATGTTAAATATTGTTTTTCATGTAATATACATGTTAAATAACTCTTAATTTAGCATAAATGCATTATTGGGACATTGATTTTAGATTCAATTTATTTAATGAATTTTGGAAACTTTTTTAGATTAATTTATTCTAAAACTAAATGGCCCCCCAGTGTTACAGCGGTATGTCTAAGGACTTACAACGCTAGAATCCGGGTTTCGATACTTGTGGTGGGCAGAGTACAGATAGCCCATTGTGTAGCTTTGTGTTTAATTACAAACAAAACAAAATCTAAAACTGTGTTCGCTTCTGCTTCTTTTTAATAGGAATAGGAAAAATCTAACTGCTAATTTTTACTTTGAAGTAAAAAATCAATAGACAGTACAGAAGGCCGAGTATGTTATATTAAAACGAATTTGAATCCTCGCCATATCACTTCAGTCCATATCACCATGTCTAGTCGCATTTTATCTGGCGACTGTGCATTTTGACAATAGGTCTTCAGCGTAATTTCCATTACAAAAGGCTCTGTCGTAAGGCTGTCGTGTCTAAAGCACATACTTCTTCCTAAATACTTTCAATAAGTTATCTAGTGTGCGAGGACGACGGTTTTCCAGCGTCTGTTTTAACTCTCCAATTGCACAGACATTCATAGGTACTGCATCCAGCGACATGATCGACATGCCTTCATAACAAATAGCGCAAATATCCGTTTGAGGTATGCAAGTATTAAACAGACATGTCATGGAAGCAACTTGTGTATACGTGACTTTTCTAGCTTTTTCAGACAGTGATCTTCCTTGGTTTATGTTGCTTATTGTTGCCTGCTGCATATGGACGGTTTTTGCTACTGACCTTAGTGTTCGTAGATTCTTACCTGTTACAAGACGCCACACTTTGCGTACCACGGATTGGGTACTACTTGACGTAAGTCTATTTCTGGATGATCCTGGTGCCCCAAAGTGGCCTATGTTCCTTTGTTTTCCAATGCCATTAAGTACAAGGGATATCCCCATCTTGGAAATTTTAAATTCCCGATATAAACATATCTTTGTGGTCTATGTGTATGAACATTTTATGTCAGAAATGACCGTTACATACCCTTTCCAAAATCGACCAACTTTCGGTGCCATCACACTACCTGCGAAACGCCAAACAATGCCAAAATGTAGTAGTTTCATCGCAACTTTATATCGGCTGTTGTTGCCACGTGACTTCTTGATTTATATATTCAAAGTCAGTTTAACCTAAAATATTTGATCGTTTGTATTAACAAAAACACCATGACCTAACTACTAATTACACCGTAAATAAACTCCAATTTATATTATTTCGATTGCATTTAGTTATTACACGTTTGCAAAAAGTACAAATTGTTCTCAAAACTAAGTTTTGATCATTTTCAAAGCACACATATTATTCTTACTTTCATTTATAGATTCTAGTAAGATTTGATCATACCAAAGAAGATATTTTTATGTTTTAATATTATTTAGGTTTGCTAAGTTGAGTATATTGATTGAAACGCTCTAAATTAAAATCGTGTTTAATTCCCTAGTTTCCATTAATACATTCTACACACGATTTTTTTAAAACAAGTAAATTATATTGTTGGGAATTAAAGTATTATAACATCCAAAAACTCCAACAGCAACAACAACAACAATAACAATAAAAAATTACTTCGTAAGCCTTTACGAAACATTAAGTAAAGTGAAATAGTTAGGTCATTATATTATTACAATGTACAGCGGCAATATGCAATCTTTCTTGTTTCGGTTATCGTTAAATGTATTTTCTTCTTCAGGACGAAACTGTCAATCTTCATTTCAACTCACTGCTATCAACTGTATCTTCAACATATTGTTCAGTCTTCCCCTAGACTGTTTCTTCAAACAGAGTAAAGCTTTATATATATTGCTTAACCATATCTAGCACAAACACATTCAGCAGGATCCTTCTAATACTTGACTTCTGGGTGATTAGCTGTAGATTGAAGTGTAATAACAGGTGGGACTACTACATGTATTCCCATCAAGTAGGCGATACCCTTTATCTAAAACAAAACAAAACAACAGCATAAAACATAAACACGTAAAGTGTGTTTACTATGGTTTAAATGTACGAAAGTGGTATATTTGTTCTGATAAACAGTTCATAAAGAATATACAGTTCAAACATCACCTCTTTCATAAACAATTGCCAGAAATAAGAACTTCAGGTTTTACAAGACGATCGATTATCACGGCAACAGTAAGAATGGAGAGAATATTTAGTAATACTGATAAGAAGATATCCCAGGAGGAACTCCACAATTCTGAAACAGACAAAAATAACGATTTTGTAAATATGTCCAATCATATAATGTTTTTATGTATAACTACATATTAAAAGAAATAAAATTTCGTTCATTTGTGATATAGAAGAAAAATAAAATAGCTTAAAGAAATATTAAGCCTGTTACAAGCAATGTAAAACTATATTGTGAAGTCTACTCCGATAAAGGAAATATAATACATTTTGTAAAACGTTCAATCTTTCTTCAAGTAACTGATTCATGTTTCAAACTATGAATATACAAGCAGAGACCCTCAAAACATTTGCGGTCAGACTATCATCTTTATTGCAACGGTATTTCTTTAAATACAGAATTTCTAGAACAATACAATTGAATTATAACCGCAGAAACCGAAATTTAGAAGTCCACTTATGTTAGGCCTAATAACATTATTTAAGCCTTTATTAAGTACGGCCTATATTCGATAAAGAGATCAATTAACACACTAACTTGTATCCGTTTTTAGTTTTAGTTAAAGTTAAACTTTATAGTACTTAATTAATACTATCAATAAATAAACTTATAATGTTATTCTACGGCCTAACGTTAGACCTTTTTAAAAATCTTGATAAGCTTTTAATTTAATATGTTGTACAAAATGTCTACTAAAGTATATTTACATTCGCGCCCCCCAGTGGCACAGCGGAATGTATGAGGACAAAGCTAGAGATCGGGTTTCGATACCCGTGGTGGGCAAAGCACAGATAGCCCATTTTGTAGTTTTGTGCTTACTTCCAAACAAACAAACAATTTAGATGGGGTTTATATCAGTTGAAATCAATTGCACGCGCATTTTCAGAACAGACAAAAAATGAGCATTGTTGTCATAGATAAATAAATGAACGACTGTTAAATGAATTAATTTAATATTATTTCAACTTAAAAGAGCTACGTATACCTACATTTTACCGATGAATCTTTTGTAAATCAAATACCATAAAAAGTATGAACTGCATAAACTAGCAAACTACAGTATCAGCCTTAATAATACTTGGGAACTCTTTAAGAAAATTTATACCAATGAAGTACTCCCAGGTTTAACTTACATCAACAGGTGAGTTATTAAACCACAAGAAATTGAATTCTTAAAATAATTATATTTAAAGTGTATGTAAGTTTGAATAAATAAGGTATGAAAGAAGTTGATAAAATGTGTTTCAAAAATAAACAAAACCGGCACATCTGGATATACTAAGACTTACTTCTCTCTATGTATTCTTGTAGTCCATTGTTACTTGGTTCTGACTGGTTGCCACTGCAAAACCACCTGCGGCTTATCTGTACTGCAAGTCATGTTTGATGACACCTCGCATCAAGACAATAGGCAATAGCTCTCATTGTTTAATAGACAATTTCAGGAAAGACAGGGAATCACGCTTCTCCACTTACATTGAGCTTATCTCAATTATATTAAATGGCCAAATGGTTCCTCTTTGAGTCTTGATAACTACAAGGTCCAGCAGAGTTTTAACATCACAAGCATCTTACAAATTAGTCTCAACTTTGCCTCCGTTTATCTTTACCAGCATATAGTAAACCACAGCCAGGTTGAGATGAGCTTAACTGACCACTTTTCCTTTGGTAGCAAGCCGATTGCAGCACCCACCCAGGATGGTGGCCAGCTCTAATCTAGATTTCTCCAGTTTAAAAGAGCTGAAACAACAGCAGTGGTCATTGACTATCTTCAATCCTTCTGCAGTTGTCCAGAAACAAATCTGCGGGCTTTCTCTTGCATGACAGGATATGGACAACTCCTCTTCCCACAAATAAAGTAGACATTACACCATTCATTCTCAGACTGCTTTCTATGCAGATCGAACTGCTATGGCAGTGGTGCAGTCATCATAAGCCATGGCAATAGGGCCTGGACATTCATAACCACTAATAAGGAATTAGTGTTTCCATTCCTTCACCATAAGTCCTTCGTGGCATCAAAAGCGTACATGTATGGAAAAGAGAGAAGCTCATCCCATGTAAACTATGCAGTAATAAATTCTTGGCCATAGCATCTACATCTTACCACTAATGACTTAGTCTGCAGTAGTTACAGGTAAAGCTGACCTAACAGGTAAGTTATTAATACCATAAAACAGAGAATTTGTATGCATAGTGTATGATAAGTAAGACTGGACCAATAAATAAGAGACTGATATAGATTCTTCACTTTGAAACAAATACACCTTGTTTAATACAACTTTAATGAGAAATGAAAATGATTGCTCAAGGACATTTAAAGTGAACAGATTGTTTATCAGTACTTTTGATACTGACAATTTGTTGAAATGCAAGACGGAGAAAGACATCAGGAAAATTTTGAAAATGGAATTGACTTTTATTAAAATTATCTTACGACTCCAGAATCCACCAAAACTTCCATACCAGTCATATGCTCTGTCTCTGCATATAGCCAACATTATGACTTGGCTACAAATCATATGCCTAGTTGCAAAAAAAAGAGAAGTCGTGGGTCCAACCTACAAACATAACTATATAATCTAAGGGCAAGATTAACAATATTTTATATTGGGGTCATCATGATCATCTCGTATTTATAACTGAAAATTTTATAAACAAAGATATATTCACATTTTATGTTACAGAAAGGCTTATTTCATGATATTTTCTAATCACACCAATAAACAATGGTTAATTGGCAAGATATTAAACAATATTTTCTCATTTTGGCACTAAAATGAAGTAGAATCACTGCTTTTAGTATATCAAGCTACTAAATAGACATCTAAGCTTGTTTATTCTGCCCCTAGATGGCACACCTTGCACACAATTCACAGACAAGTATCATTTTGTTTAAATAGCTTATCACAATTCATACATCTTACTATATTTGTTCAAATTATACACGTAAACATAATAGGTACCATTATTTTTTTGAATACTGTTAGAAAGTATAAAATATGGCTGGGGTATATTACTAACCAACTATGTCTAACAAATTATTTACATAAACAGTTGGCTTGGCATGGCCTAATGGTTAGGGCACTGGATTCGCAATCTGCGGCTCGCAGGTTGGAATTTCATCATCAAACATACTTGCCCTATAAGCCGTGGGGGTGTTATAAGTGAAGGTTCATCCCACTTTTCGTTGGCAAAGAGTAGTTCAAGAGTTGGCGGTGATTGGCATTGACTAGCTATCTTTCCTTTAATCAGTTTAGTGTATCATTTAGTTAAATCATTAAATAAACAAGTGTGAAATTCACATATGAAGTTACTGATCATAAACGTCTGAAATTTTTACATCCCGTTGCTTAGCGTAACAAAAATACAGTTAGTACAACAAGTTTCATTTCAATTTGTTTTTCCTCCAAATATTCAAATTAAGTTATTATATGACATAACAGCAACTATTGTTGATTTTATATCTAGATGTTGTGCTCATTACGGGTTTAAAAAGTTCAATGATTCATTATCTCTAGCATGAATGTAACATAAATTAGTAAGCATCTAAATTTCTTTCTAATATAAATTTTTGATTGCCATATAACCTTATGAGTTGATCCTTCGTTAGATTATGTAAGTTGACAACTGCTGCTTTGTACCAATATTAAATGTAGGTTTCAATTATTTCGTAAAATACTTACATTGCTGTAAGACAAATGAGGAGCATAAAAATATACGAAATTACTTTATACAATATATCTATATAAAGCGCAACTAACAACAAACAAAACAAAAACATTATGTGGAAATACCCAGTTTGAAAGTTAGCATTTAAAATTACCTCTTTTTTTTTCCTTTTCTGACTATCCTAAGTAACCGAAGTCTTCTCTTAATTTAGTTCCAAGACTGAAGACAGTAAGATTAAATTTGTTTTTGTTTAAGCGCTGCGCTACACAATGGATTCTCCGCGCTGTGCCTCATCGGGAATTGAACCCTAAAGTTTAGCGTTATAAGCCCTTAAGCTTACCTCTGTGCCACCATGGGGAACTTAAGACAAAAAGAGAAGCAATAGTTTAAAACCAATAAGCATTATAGTTGAGCAACGTAACTTCAAATGTTATAAAAAGGTTGAGTACGTTATACTAAAACGATTTTGGATCTTCGCCATATTGTTACAGTCCATATCGCCATGTCCGATCGTGCTTTATCTGACGGTTGTGCATCTTGACAATAGATCTGAAGCGTAGTTACCATAAAAAAATACTCCATTGTAAGCTACCATGTCTAAAGCACACTCCATCTCTTTAAATTATTTCAATAGGCTTATCTAATTCACGAGGAAGACGGTTTTCCAGCGCCTGTTTTATCACTCTGAGCACATAGACATCCATAGGCACTGCGTCAAGCGACTTGACCGGGATACCTTCATATGGAATAGACTAAATATCCTTTCATTCTCCAGCTGTTTAAGGTACTTGGCGATTGTACAAATACGTCGTGTATACAGTATACAGCTTGTTTGCAGACGACTGTTGTCGCTTTGCAACACAAAGATCTTATTGGTTATGTTGCCTAGAATACGTGGATGGCTTTTGCCACTGATCTATGTGTTCTTGTATTCTCCCCAGTCACAAGATGTCACACGTTGCTTATCACAGCTCGGGTGCAACTTATTATAAGTCTCTTTTGAGTGGTTCTGGTGCCCTAAGTTGATCCCTATTTCTTTGTTTTCTAATGCATTAAGTACCGTGATTTGTTGATTTATATATTCAAAGTTGTTTTAATAAAATTACTTGACACTTTATATTTATGTTCTGTATAATCAAGGTTTCAGAATTATTTGACTAAATCTTACCTTAAATAAATATATTCTGTAAAGGCTACTTGGAATGATTATTTAGTGATACGAGAAACGCACGAAATATTTTATATTGCCACCTGTTTGATTTATTAAACTATTATTTCTTTTTACAGATTACCTCAACTTTGCATTTCACAATAAAATCACTCAAATTACTTTGGTTAGAAATGAGAGGTCCTATCATTCAAACTATTTCCCCTCCCTTTCATGAAACGGACCTGTGTTTATAGCTAATGTTTGAGTTTGTTTTTAACCTATGGTCTTAATGGCTATCCAAATCAGTGAATGATTAAATTAGTAATTATTTTTTATGCAATGAGACATAAACGATCAAACCTTTCAGAATAATTCTAATATTAGAGTAAATAATTTTGTACTTTTGAAACTTTCAAATAAAATAATATGAAACCACTGTATTTCTACACTTGAGAAAATGTTAAAAATGTTGTCCATTATAAATCATTATTTCAGATTACTCGCATTAAAATCCTTTATGTAACAATTTGTTTATCGATAATTTTACTTATTCATCGTTGATGACTTTTGTTAGTTACATCAATTAACAATTATTTAGAATTAATCGATTAGAAAAGCACTTTAAAATATATGTGTGTGTATCTTAATGGAAACCAAACTCATAGACATATTATCTATCGAATGAAGTAAAATATTTTTAGATGATTTTGGTCAATTTTCTAAAAATATTTTACTTCCTTCGATCGATAACATGTATTTTAGTTTAGTTTTAATGAAGATAAACGCAAATTTATTTTAAAGAAAACCTTAATCAATTGTCAGGCTTACATGTCACAGTTAAATAAAATGATTTGATAATTTCGGTGACTACAATTCGTTTACACAACTATAATTTGAAAAGTCAAGCTTTGGAAAATTTATTACCTGCAAACAGTTTGAAAACAAAACCATGGCACGACGCTGACGTTTGAACTTTCAGCAAATAACCCGTGAGGTCCTAGTACACTGTACAATTGTAACATACATAGTGTTAAGCCTAACATGGCTGCCGCTATAATTTTTCTTATACGTTTTTCTACTCGACTTCTTCTGTTAAGTCTAACGTCGTTGGTATCAGTTTGAAATTCTTGGCTGAAAGTTCTGCTGGATCTGCAAAAAATAACAAAAAACAAACAACCACTTGGTTTTAATAAAGAATGAGAAATGTAGTAAACAAAAAACGTTTCAATATAAAAAGAAGAAATATTAATCTTAATCATATCAAGATAAAAGTTCCCCCTTCATTTTTTTTTTACTTTCATCCATAGTTATATAAAATTTGGTAAGAATTCTCAGCAAGCAAGCAACTTAAATGTAGCTACTATGCGGTCAAATAATACTGAGTTTTATGTTTGCTAGTGGCTGATTGAGGTGGCAATGCGAATTTGATCAATCATAGGCTGTTTATACAGAACATAAATATATATAATACATATCTTATATATATTCTCCCGTATCACTGCATTATTTGAGCTATGACTTCTGTAAACAATTTAGCTATCTAGTCTGTTATCGCGAAAAACTGTGTGAATGAATTTAGTTTTCAAATTAAAAAACAGAAAAAAAACTAACATTTGGTTAAGAGAGTAATGTTCTGCTAGATATAATTCTATTCGGCAGTTTATTACAGCATTTTCACGAATACCTTTAAAGATTATTTATCTGTTTCGTTATTTTAGAACTTAGCGTAAAGCTACACAAGAGCTATTTCGCACAGTGTGTCTTTAATTTTGAATTAATTAACATCTACCATCTATTCTTAGGCTACTCTTCTTTGATCGAATACTTGATTATGTAATTAACATCTACCATATATTCTTAGGCTACTCTTCTTTGATTAAATACTTGATTATGAGATGGTAGATGTTAATTAATAATCAAGTATTTAATCAAAGAAGAGTAGCCTAAGAATATGTTAATTACATAATCAAGTATTTAATCAAAGAAGAGTAGCCTAAGAATATATGGTAGATGTTAATTACCTACCATAT